CGTTTGCCTATGTTCTGAATATCATGAACACCATCAGGCTCTGGAAGTTTATTACAAAACAAAGACATCCATGCGCACAACCTCTCATAAGCAGGGCCGCAACACGCTGAAACGACAACAAATAAAAAAAGAAGACAAATTCGTCAAAACTCTACTCTCCAGGTGCTACTGCTGCGCCCTGTAGAAAGGTTCCTCATGCAGGAGATTTTTCAATCTTTCAGGTGTGTAAAATGCAGCTTTTACTCCTCCATATTATACAATCCAACACATGCAACAGAACATGATAACCAGCAGCATGCATAAAATTGAAATAGTAGCTTGTTTAAAAAAAAACTAAATTAAAAAATAAGCCCATGATAAAAAAGGATCGTAATATGTCTTTCCATTGCTGCTGCTGTTGGACCAAACACAAGGGTTGTTTCCAGTTACAGCATGATTTTTTTTAAACCAAGTGCACCCGTCAAGCCCTCATCCACATTCCCCGCCTTGCTGTTTTTGGAAATAATGAGATCAGGAGACCTGCCCAAAAGGCCTTTTCTGAAGAACTCTATCAGTTAAAAATACCCAAACGTTTCAGTGAATGTCCTATTTTCCTAACGCTTAATCTAACATCTATAACGCTGAGCACGAAACAAATTTATTGATCCCTAGATTTCCAGAAGAATTCAAATTCCTGGTTAGACTAAGGTTTTGCCTTGCCCTACGCATTGAATTGCGTTTGCAAGAGCAAAAAGTTCAGGAAACAACGAGAGGTAAATTCCAGAATTACCGGCACGGAAAATAAATTATTTGTGCATCGAATTGCTACTATGGTGTGCAACAATTATAAGTTGTGAATAAAAAAGTGATTCTCAAAGCTGACAAAATTCATAGCACACGACTATAAACAACTAGCTTTATATGGAAGGAAAGTATCGACACTTCAAACAGAATCAGTTTTGCCTTTCACCCTTTTACTTCTGCCTTTGACAAAATGCTCTTAAAGAGATTCCCGTACTCCTGGACTTCTGTCTGTGTAGGAAGCGTCAGACGACTCATCACGTTAACCCTTTCGGCTCTGGCGGTGGCAATTGCCGGCGTCAAATTTAAAGCTCTGCATTACGGCACAACAACATATCATATTTCTACTACTCACTGCTAGAGGTTACTTCAGACGACCTTCCCCTTCCTAATTATGCTTTGAACCCGCCATTTTATTGTGTGTTGCTGTTAGCATTACAAGTATTTGTGTACAAGTGCAACAATGAATCGGCGGTGGTCTAAGCACACTGCTAAGTAATTGCCCATTATAATATTTCGGAAATACTCGGAATATGCTTATTTTGTTATCAAAAACGTTATACTTTGTGGAAGGCCATAAATTTTCTCGACATAACTGGAAAATTCGGAATTCTTCCGACATGAGCTGAAACAAAGAAGCTGTGCCAATTTTCACAGCTTCGTAGTTCCTTAGTTTGTGATCGAATAGCTTCCAAATTTCTTTGCATATTATATATGTGCTCAAAAGTGATTAGCAGTAGCAGGAATTTTTTTCTCACGGAAAAATTCAGGGCCGAAACGGTTAAGGGAAACAAAATGTGTACAAATCAGTATACTCAGCACCTAGTGTTTCAACCCAAATTTCACCCAAGAAAGGAACTGGCTTACTGTAATGTTGACTGTGCA